ACGGATGAAGAGGAGGGTCTTGAGATGGGCCTTGAAGGAGGCAAAGGGGTGGGTAGGGGAGGCATAGGGACTGTTGGATGGTGTTCCAAAGGGTGGGGCAGAAAAGCTGAAGGAGAGTACTGAAAATCTTTTAGTCTGGCTCTATACAGCTCACTGGCTTTACCATCTCCGCCCCATGACAGAGGATTAAGAGATGGAGTGTACCTGATACTGAAATTCAATCCACTGTCAGCCATGAGACCATTTTCGTGCCTTAAACTTTAAAGCGGTGAAAAAAAATTGGTATATACAAGTAACTTATTGATTAACTTAACTTATTGATTAATCACTTGATTAGGTGTTAATTCCAAATTACTGCTGAGCAAATCAGAAATGGGTTGCACCCAGAAAGTATAAATAGGAGATAGCTGCGAGAGTCTCACTTGAGCCACGTCTGGAGTGAGGCGAGGCCAGAGTGTGAGGGAATTTGGTGAGAGTGGGAAATAGGTGCAGAGGGGGAAGTGGGGGCAGGTTATATATCTTTGTATCTATATAAAGATTGTGAAGATGGTGTGGCAGATAAACTGCGAGGTCTGTCACATGTGGGAGTCGATGGAGGGTTCCTTAAGCCCCGGCGACTTCATCTGCCACAAGTGTCTGGAAATCAGGGAGCTTCAGCTAAGAGTAGCTGAGCTGGAAGCCCAGGTGCAAACACTGCACTCCATCAGGGACAGTGAGAGGTTCCTGCACAGTATGGTGGAGGAGACCCTCACTCCCCTATGTCTCAGTGATAGCAGCCCATCACTGTATAGGTACCATGAGAGAGGGGTACTGGAGCCATCGGGAGGTCCGAGTGCAGGAATAGGACCACTCCCAGAGGAGCCCAACACACAGCCATATGCTAAAAGTGATTGTGTGACAGTGCGACGGGGAAAAAAGAGGGCTTGTGCAAGGCAGAGCACTCCCAACAGAGTACCGGTCTCAAATCAGTACTCAGCATTAGCAATTGAGAGCGTGGAAATCTCCCGTGAGGACAGCAGTGAACATTCTGTCCAACAGGACAGGGGCATGGATCACACGGGCAACACTGTTCTGATTGAGGATTCAACAGTGCGAGGCACTGACAGGATCTTCTGTCATAAGAATCGTGAGGCTAGGATGGTTTGCTGCCTTCCTGGTGCGAGGGTAGTGCACTTTACCCCGCGTGTGGACAAGATTCTTCAGGGAGAAGGAGAATGTCCAGAAGTCGTGGTCCATGTGGGGACCCACGATATTGGGAAGAAGAGGGCTGAGATACTCCAGGGCGAGTATCAAAAGTTGGGGAACAAACTCAAGGCCAGAACATCCAAGGTGGTGATCTCTGGGTTACTCCCGGTGCCTCAGGCAGCGGAACAAAAGAAAAAAAAAGCGGGGACCTGATAGAGGTCTTCAAGATCATGAAAGATTTCGACAGGTTAGATAGGGAAAAGCTTTTTCTGCTGGTAGGTGTGTCTGTGACTCGTGGTCACAGTCTTAAGATATCTACCAAAAGAAGCAGAGGGGAGGTTAGAAGAAATGTTTTCACTCAGCGAGTTGTTAGAATTTGGAATGATCTGCCCGAAAGGGCAGTGAAGTCCGATTCGATAACAGCTTTTAAGAGAGAACTGGATAGGTATCTGGAGAACACAGGTTTGCAGGGTTATGGGGAGAAGTTGGTGAGTGGTGTTAATAAAAGTCAGTTGCTCTGTCAAAGAGCCGCACAGACTCAATGGGCCGAATGGCCTCCTTCTGTGCCGTAACATTCTATGATTCTATGATATTCCTAAACGCATTCCGAATGTGGAAGCCAGTTTTCCTGATAAAGAAACCGGATTCCGAACGAAGGCTAGGTTGAGGAATTCTCCACAATTCCATGGCATGCCAATTCTTAAGACGAAATGGTGTAATTGGCTGAGACTAGGTGGAATTTTGGGCCTGTGTTATTTGAATAATATGAATAAAAAAAACGCAAAACATTCTTTCATTAATTGTGTATCAGATTTCCTCCCAGATCTAATCTATTCTATTGTAATCTAATCTAGTAAACTCTTTTAAAAGAGCTGGCACAGACACAATTGCACAAATTGCTGTATAATTCTATGATAAGTGAGAGGTGTTAACTCCATTATAACAGCTCCGAGATTCCTTTACACAAATGAGAAATATGGCTATGCAAATTTCTGCTTCTAGGTTATTGCTGCATACAACTCCATGGCAAAACAGTGTGACCTCTGCGGGGAAGTGGGCCACCTCTACAGATTCTATCCCAGGAGGAGTGGAAATCAGTCCCAAAAAGAAGCCCAGACCAGTTCCATGTGGCTGTGTAGAAGCAGCAGCTAACAGGGGCAAAACAACAGGGTCCCCTGAGGTTCTTGGGGGTCTTCTTGTTTTTAGAATCTTAAAAAGAGTTAGAAACGTCAATGGAGCTGTGCTTTTGAGCTTGGGCTGCCGTGCGTGTCTGCTGCTGGGAAGCCAGACTGCGAATTTGAACTCTCTCACGGTTCAACCACGCACTGCAGAGATCAGACTGCAAGGGTGGGTAGGGCTCACATTGTGTCTGGTAACACTGTGCCTACTCACTGCTCACAGCCTTTGGTCAGGCTGCGACATCAGGCAGTGGTATTCTGCTCGGTGGCACTGGAATTGTGGTTTGACTGAAATCCTTCCACTCGTAGCAGCAAAAATTGTCAGCTGGGCTCGCTCACTCACCGCCCTTACTTCAGGTCAAGAGGTTGTAGTTTCAAGTTCCCACATCAGGCATTTTGAATTCACAGACCAGGTTGACACTGTCATGTTTCTCAATCCACGCACAGTGTATTGAGTAATTCCTTTATTCTCAGCTCAAAATAATACATACAACACTCCTACCATAAACCCACAACTCTGGGCCCCACTCACAGTATCCTTTCACACCTCGTGTCTTCCTCTGATTGCCTCCTTAATTACCGTTGATTTCTTAAAAGCGATATCTTACAGATTCTCCAGTGCAGGGGTGGGGGGAGTGCTGCATGGTCGGCGATGCTATCCTTTGGGCGGGAGCTCTGATCCCATACCTGGTTCTGCCACTCTTTGATATCATCACTGAACATCACGGGGATTCAGCAGCTGAGCTCGAGGTCTGATATCTCAACGACAACAATTTGCATTTATATAACACCCCTCACAAAGAGTATCATCCCAGAGCGCTTTCCCACCCCCTGTAGTCACGCAGCTTTTACAGCAGCAGCTTTCTGCTTATTGGATTGATGGGGAATGGGAATCAGATGGTGGGTCTCTCAGTGTTAATTGTCAATGCTTTCAAATGGACAGGGCCCGTGATTCCCACTGCCCCCAGTAGGTGCCTCTGTTGTACATTTCTAATTGGAAGTCACAAGATCCCGGACTCCCACTCATCCTTCTTCCCGTTACGGCACTGAGCTGTTTCGTTAATGAGTCCCCATGTTCTGGCCTCACCACTGTTCCTGGTAACCAATTGGCAAATTCCCCTCAGAAAATAACTACTTCCTGGTGGCTGTCTGTCATGAACCTGCTGCCTGAGGGGATCCAAAGTATTGTTCTCTGTTTACTTCCTTAATCCTATTCCAGCCGAATCCCACTGAGATGTCCTGGAACTGACGCCCACAACATAAACTCTTCCTCGGCTAGAGGATTTTCCCAATGGAGATGACCAGGATTGGGTCTATTTGTAACATTGTTGCCCACTTTTGTTCAGAGCCAGGCCCCCTCCCCAATCCTGATCTCAGCCGGAGGCAACCGTCAGCTTATAACCAAGTGCCTCAGCCGGTGCTGTGGGTTCAGATGGTGGGATGGGGCGGGGGGTGGGGGTTACGGGGCTCTCTGCGCGATGTCCCCGCCCCCACCTCACCGCAAACCGTCCGCTGGGTGAGGGTCGATTCAGTTTGTGGTATGAGCCGGCGCGGAGACGTGCACAGTGAAGGGTGTGGAGAGACAATGTCTTCATTAATGAGTGAGCCCCAACGAGTAGCTGTGGGTGAGGCGAGGGTGTGGCTCTGACCGTTTCTCTGTATGACACGAGCTGTAAACAACTAGTCAGTCAAAGGTCACAGTGAAGCTGAGTGATAAATAAGCAACGTTACTCACCCCGTCAGCTCCTCTCAGTGTGTGCGTGTGTGCGTGTGCGTTTGAAAGTGAGGGCTATATAAATAACATTTGTTGTTGTTGATTTCCACTTATGCAGCTCAGAGCGTGAGGTGGGATGCGGTGGGGGCCGCGCGCGGGGGCTGGTGTGACTGGATGATGAGCAAGGCTGCGTTGGTGTGAGATCACACCAATGAGAACGTGCGGACGAGATGACAGCTTCCAGGGAACGTCAGAGCAGCGATGACGATCTGTTTCCTGTAAACTGTCCCTTTCAGCTCCAGCGCTAAATTATTGATCGCTGTGTGCGCGCCTCCCTGCTCCCAAGGGAATGGGCCGCTCGGAACTCTCTCCGCTTCACGCCTGACCCGTTGTCCCCCCTCACTCCCCACCTGTCGATAGGCCGACGGTGGGTAATATTTCACTGGCTCCAGTCAGGCTCTTTAAGAAAGGAAAAACTTGCACTTTTTAAAGGCATCTTTTAAAGGGAGTGTTTCCCCCACTCCCCCGGGACTCCCCACGTCTCCAGGCTGTCAAGTGTAGTAACTGTGTAGTTTGCAAGCACACAGCAAAGTCCCATAAACATCCACCCAGTATTGGAGTGTCATCTTAGTCTGTGAGCTCAAAGTCCCTGACATGGGGCTCGAACTCACAACCTTCTAACTTGGAGGCGAGAGCATGAGCGACTCAACCATGTTGAGGCAATATCGTGTCACCAGTTGGGAAGCGAACGACTTCAATGGGGCATGATAGTCAGCCGGGACCCTGGAGGAAAACTCTTGTCCCCTTTCTAATTGCGCGCGAGATCTTTAACGTCCGTCCTGAACATCCCAATAGTCAACTAACACGCGGAGGTTTCACACAGTGAAGATACAAAAACAGAAAGCCAATGAGCGGTGTGCGGTGAGGATAGTGGGTTTATTGTTGATTTGTTTCCAAACATTCAGGTAATCATTATTAAAACACGTTTACATTTGAATATCAAATGGAAGTGACGTTTCCCGGGATGCAGTTTGTGTCCATGTCATGCAGATGTTCAAGGCGGAGCGGAATCGTGTGGAGTCAGAGAGGAGCCAGTGCTGGAGTGAGAGCAGAGAGGAGGCGGAGTGGATTGTGGAGCAAACCGGGTGTGTGGAGCTGAGCATTCACACGTATTCCCTCATGGAGTAACTGGCTGTCTGGCTCTTAGTGGGAGCGGAGCCTCGTGCTGCACGGGCCGACCCCACGTCCCCCCACCCGAGCTGTGCGGGACAGGAGCAGCAGAGCACGGCACCCCCCAGGCCTAGCAGAAAGGCCGCAGTCCAGCCCAGGTACAGGGCCCGACCCAGCTCCTGTTTGCGGCTATCCGGCACCAGCGGGCTGTAGAAATCCACTACCACGGTATGAGCCGCCCAGGACACGGGCAGCAGCACGCACAGCCCGGCCATGACAAACAGCGCCCCACCCAGCGCCGCGGCGTGACCTTTCACGTTCCGGTCACCCCCACCGCAGGTCGTACACTTCATGCCCAACAGGGTCACGACGATGCCCAGCAGCCCCACAGCGATGGCGGTGGCGGTCAAGGCTCGGGCCCAGCGCAGGTCAGCGGGGAGGTCGAGGAGAGAGTCATACACGTCACACATCATCCTGGCCGTCATCTCCTGGTAAACGCACGTCATCCAGATTCCCTCCCACACCGCCTCCGTGTTCAGGATGGTATGGCCTATAAACGGGGTCACCTTCCACTGAGGCATTCCCGTCACCGCACACGCACACACCCATCCCACCAGGCTCACCAGGAACGCCAGCAGCTCACAGCCGGTATCCGACATCCCTCTGTCCACTCACCGACGGGAAGCTCCGGGGAGTGGGATATTCTCTCTCACTCAGCCTTCTAATCTCTTGTTCGCTGCTGTCCGTGTTTGTGCGCGTATTGGGGAGATGCAACAGTCGAAATGCAGTCCGAGTCTCGGACGTCAAAGTACGGGTTTCTGGTGGAGAGGGAGCGAGCGAGCGAGAGAGCCAGCAAGTGAGCGAGGCCGCTGAGTTTGACTGAGAGATTGGAGACCAGGAATAGAATTATAAGCAAGTATCAGAGTGGCTCCTGTTACAGTGGACATGGAGAACCTTTCAGACATGTCACTCACACAAAGGCCGCGCTGATCAGAGGCAGCGATTCGTCTCAGAGTGACAGGAGTGAGACTGGAAGCCAACTCCAAGACTGTAACAACAATAATAATAATCTTTGCATTTGATATAGCGCTTCACAGAATATACTGCAAAGTGAATTGATTATATATTTGTGGGCGAAACATGGCAGCGAATTGTGCACAACAGTGCCCCACAAGCAGACGCGGATTGAGTGACCAAATTGTTTTGTTATTTTTAGTTTTAGGAGATTATTGCCTCTGGAAAGCGATCCGCCAATTGACTAACAACCGGTTCCTACTTTACTGCTGGGTAAACAGAGGTATGTGGAGTAAGGAAAGTTGCCTAAGGTTTTGCCCTGCCTGGGAATCACACCCAGGTCCTCCAGCTTGTGAGGTGAGCGCACTAACCACTCCACAAAGATTGTATGGTAAATAACTCTGGGAGGAGATCACAGGAACCAGTTGAGATGGGGTTAATATCAATGGCTTGTGTCTGTCTCAGCAGCAGTGTAATGGAATCCACTAATAGACCAACAGAATTCCGACCGCTCTCAACCTTCATACCATTTTACCATATCACGAGAAGTAAGAATTTTTAACAACTGTGCTGCAGAATAAGTGGAATTTCGGAGTCAGTACCCCCCCCCCCCACCTCCGTATCATTTGATCTGCACATAACTACACTGGCCTGTTCCCCCGACCCACTGGGTAACCAGCCAGAGGAAATCTGACACCCAGTGACTTTCCTTCCTGTCCTTTCACTTCTGCGCTCAGGTGGAAAGTGGAGCTGATCTTGTTGAGTTGATGAGTTGGACAGTTTTCCGTCTGCTCACACAATGTGGGGTCGAGGGGGGCAGTGGGGGCAAGGTAATTTACGGTAATTCTTAACGCGTTTCTTAACCAAGAAATCTGTATGGTCACTCATTCCAGTATTGGGGGGGGGGAAAGGGGGGTGAGGGGATAGGACACTGACGAGATCCCGAATCTGGGATCGAGCGGAGAAGCGGCATTCCCATGGTCGTCAGGTAAAGCGTTCTGGGACACTACCCTGCGTGAGAGGCGCTATATAAATGCAAGTTGTTGTTGTTGCTGTGTCTGTCACAGACCTGTCACTGTGCTTAAAGCATCCAAACCAGATGACTGAAAATTTCGCTTCTATTTATTGTATTGGGGATTAAGTTAGGGTCAGACCTGCTTCTCTTCCTGGTCAGACTCCGAGTTGAAATACATTTCAGATTCTTCAGACCCTGGAATTGGGAGAAACATTAAAATCACTTCACTGTGCGCTCACTGACAACAACTTCTCAAAACCTTCTCAACTGAGAAACCAGCTTACATTCGGGGGGGAGGGGAGCAAGCGTGGGGGTCACACATGCGGGATGGGGGGTTCACACATGTGGTGGGGGGGTATATGTGCAAAGGCCACACACAAGGTTACATGTATGGGGAAGGGGGCCAAACAGCTACTCCCGTTACCTGTTTGCCGGGGTGGCTGGAGGGCCAAGGGCGGGGTGGTAACTGTAGTACGGTCGCTTTCTCTGCTGCGGCTGATGTTGCGGACAGGAGCAGCACATGATGGCCCCCCCAAACACCAACAGGCAGGCCGCGCCCCAGCCCAGGAACACCGCGTCTCCCAGCTGTGCCTTCAGGCCATGGGGCACCAGCGGGTTGTAATAGTCGCTCACAACGTTGCTGGCGATCCAGGATGCAGGAACCAGCACGCAGAATCCAGACAGGATGAACAGGACGCCAGCAGCCACAGCCAGACTGGACTTGAAACTTTCCTCGTTGCGGGCAAACCGGGTACACTTCATACCCACACTGGCGAACGCCATGCCCAGCACTCCCAGGGCCACGGACAAGCACAAGAGGACTCGGGCAGCCTGCAGGTCACTAGGCAGCGCCAATAGAGAGTCGTACACGTGACAGTGCAGCAGCCCCCCACTGTCGTTCACGCAGCTCATCCAGATCCCTTCCCAGCCCTCTGCCACTGTGAGCACTGTCACCCCATCAATGGTGCGGACTTTCCACTGTGGGATTGCTGTGGCAACGCATCCCATCAGCCACCCGACAATCCCAGTTAGACAGCCCAGCATCTGGAGGCCTGTGCTGGCCATGTCCAGCTTGGCTCAGCTACGGTCGTTCGCTCCCCCCAGGAGAGACGCCTTCAAGTGGCTCAAGTGGCGGTGAGCAGACTGCAATATGACACCCACAGCAGTGAGCGCAGGATAGATTTCTGTACCAGAGGGAGGGAGCGAGAGGGAGAGCAAGGGAGAAAGTGAGAGGGAGCGGGAGGGAGTGATGGGAGGGGGGGGGGGGCAGAGAGCGAGCGAAGGAGAGAGAGCGAGCTCTAATGTCAGTACTGTACCAAGTCCAGACATTGATACCAAGGAATGAGAGGGGTGATTGTTATCAGCACCAGCTGGAAAATTGGGGCTGGTTTTACTGAAACAGAGAACATTACAAGAACAACAACTTGCATTTATATAACGCCTTTCGGGTTAAGAGGACATCCCAAGGCACTGAATAAGCCACTGTTTGGACCTGAGCTGCAGGTTGGGATCTGAGAGCAGTGAAGGGCAAGAGGTGGGATGGTGTAGGGAACATGACCGAAGGCTCGGTTGAAAAAGGTCTTGAGAAGGGCCTTGAAGGAGTCAAGGGAGGAGGCGAGGCAGAGGCATGTTATCTGCAACTGAGAGGGACTGTATCAGTTTCTGCTTTGCACAAAGATCTGAGAAATGGTACTGGGTTTACTGATGTGAATAAAGGATGATAAGTTGGTTATCTTTTACAACTGAATCTGGTCTCGCCTGGTGAGCGTGGAGCGTCATCTAGTGTCACAGGTGAGCATTGCTTACAATCTGGGTCCTTTTGGGGCTCAGTGCTGCCACCATGAAGTGTGAGAGCTCAGCTCAGGCAGCGCCTTATACACCTGTCACTCAACCTGACCCTGACACTGACTATCCTGCTCCGATATCAGGTAACTCCTGTTGACTGACACGTCATATGTTTTATATGCACCTTGTTTGTTGCTGAACTACTTATTATTATTATATTGTTGTCTGGTTCAATCACAGTTTCGTAAACTTATTTATCTCTTACTCCTGTCCTTATGTAAACACTTGCAGGGCATTTGACATGAAGCGTAGAAGCAATCATTATCATTTATAATTTCTCAGCCTTTATAATGGGAAGACATACGCAACACATTGTGTGTTACTGGCTATAACACTGTATATTACAACAACAAACAACAACATCAAAATTACATAGTAACACAATGTGTCACTGCCTATAATACTTTATATTATATCATAACACACCATGCGTTATTGGCTATAACACTGTGTATATTGTATATAACAGTGTATGATCCAGTTCTAGATCCAGGTCTTCGCCTACAAAGCCCTCCATGGCCTCGCCCCACCCTACCTCTGTGACCTCCTAACCCCCTACCAACCCACCCACTTCCTCCGCTCAGCCGGCTCTGGCCTGCTCCACGTCCCCCGACCCACCCGCCCCACCATTGGCGGGAGAGCCTTCAGCCATCTGACCCCAACCCCTGGAATTCCATCCCCCAATCACTCCCCCTCACCCGCTCCTTACCCTCCTTCAAGTCCCGCCTCAAAACTCTCCTCCTCAGCCATGCCATCAGCCACCCCTTCCCCTCCCTTCTCCCCCCCTGACCTCAACTCGGGTCTGAAATGATGTACCCTGTCCAGGGTCTTGGGACGTCCTCCCGACATGAAAGGCCTATACAAATGTAATCTTGTTGTTGTTATGTTGTATAACAGTGCAGCACTCTGAGACTCCCTGCGTGCAGGGCACTATATTTTGGGTAACAGTGCCTCTTTATAGTTATCTGATATTGGATGTCATTTATCTAAACCTCTAATCATGGCTATATATTAGTTTCAGCTTGAGTTTTATAATTAGTTGGAGCTAACTCCCACACTGGTTACTTATCTGTACTTTGCAATAAGATCAGGGGGTGATGACTAATGTGTGACAATGGTGTCACAGCCTTTTTAACTCTCTCAAATCCTCTCATGTTTCAGATACATATTTTTACACAGAATTCACAGGGGATTTGGATTGAGATATAATGAAGAGACGGGGAGCGAGGGGAAGGAGAGATTGGGAGTGAAGGAATATCATTATTTTACTTTGAGGCTGGTTAGTTAGTTCGTTCGTTAGTTAGAACGCTGTTGGTGGGTTCCTCTTGGGGTCCTAGTGTATCTAGTGGAGACGGCAGACCTGACTGAGAAACACAGGTTTGATCAATGTTCCTGTGACTGATTGAAACAAAGGGTTAATGGTGAAGTCAGTCAGGTGGAGTGAGGAAGCAGTTGTGATACTGAACCAAACACACCTTTGACCCAGATCGTGGTGACTTTGGATGTCAGCGTAAGTGCACATGTGTGTTTCACCAGGTGACTGTTGTTAAATAGATTGATGTCCTCAACTGCCCTCCTCAAATAGGATCATCTCAACCTGCTTCCATTACCCAAGGCAGCATCCTGCTCCGTGCTCCCACTGACACGTACATGCCAGGCCTTGCGCAATAAGGAAATGAATCACCCAGCTAACAATAAGAAGCTCAGAGAAAGAGTCACATTCTAAACAACAACATACCAGCGATGATCTAACCACTTTGCTATGCCAGAGAGATTTCACTGGGTTACAGGTTATGTCTCCAACCTGTTTGATTGCTGACGTGGGAGGGTAGATGGATAGTGTAAAGGAATCTTTGTTCTAAACCCTGATGTCTTTGACCTGGGAGTGTGGACAGAGAGTGTAGATAGAGCTTTACTTGGTCTCTAACCCGTGTTGTTACTGACCACAGCCCATGCCCCCTGTAGAGTGTGACCTCATCGAACTTTGTGTCATCCAGACTCTGCAGGATTGAGAATCCATCAGTAAAACCACCCATCACACAAGAGCCTTCTGTTTGCCAGAGTGATCGTTCGTTCCAGGCTGTGTGTACACAGGCGAGTTAGTGAGGGGGGTGGGATGTGTGTGTGGCAGGTTGGAATAACACATGTGGTGGGGGCAAGAGCCAAATGGCAGCTTTCTCTCTGTAGTGATTGAATGATTCACTGATAACGTTTTTAAAAAAAATTTCAGAAATTCCTTAATTGCTTCAGAGTCCACCCGAGAGATACTCGGTTAAGCGTCACTGAATGTTTTGTGTGTGAGCAGCAAGAGAGGGCAGACGGTTACTCCCTCTATAGCACTCTGTACAGACAGCTGAGAGGAGGCTTATCAGCCTTGTGTGTCCTGGTGCTTGCTCCCCCACTGGAGCTGTCTACTCTCATCCCGTTCCCTGCACTCCCCTTATCGATTCTGTGATGGTGCTTGCTCCCCACTGAGATTCTCCATTTTATTACGATTTGCCCACAGATTACACAGTCACACCATTTAACAGTATATTCTATGAGGAGTCCTGTAGCTCAGTGGTTAGAGCTGGCTTCATTTAACAGCATGTTCATCAGGGGTGAGAGGTGCGAAAGGTGAGATTCTGGGAGGCACAGGTCAGAGAAGGCCTGATGTTTGGGCTATGATGTGTTTGTTAGTGAGTATCGAGGGGAATTACAGAGCACTTCAAATTTATTGTGGTATCAAATACCTAACATGTCCTGAGTGAGTGGAAAGAGTGTTGCCGCCCGAGCCTCTGGTTACCACATTGTCACAATCCCATCAGTGCTGGAAATACCCGTCTGTTTCCAGTCATTTCAAATTATAAGATATTTACAGCCAATTTTACTGCCCCTCCTCAAGTCACTGATCCGAGCAGGGAAAGGCATTCGTTAATTCTCCCCCACAGGCTACCAACCCACATTTTAAACATCTGTGAATTTTCTCAGATGCAATGCAATACAAATTGACATTTATATAAAGCCTTTCAAGTCAGGAGAAATTATCAACGTTGCTGTGTAGGGCGAAAGGCGCTGTAATAAGTGCGAGTTGCTGTTAATGTGGCTGTTGACCCTGTCAACTATGACTTATTTGCCCATGGACTGACTTCACTAAAAAGTTAACGGAGGATTCCACCCACTGGAAACCCAACAGGACATATCTCAATCTCTCACCCATGAGTGCTCTGACTGTCAACTCCTACAACGATGGAAAGATGAGGGGGCAGCTGTTGACCAAAACGCACGAGTAACAGTGGTGGGGGGAGGAGGGAGGGGAGGAGAGGAGTGTGGGGGAACAAGGGAAGCGGGGAAGGTTTGAGACGTTCCACATGGAACCTTTCTGTGAGCCAACACTAAGACATCAGTGCAATAGAGTGGTATAATAATTCTTGCATTTGATATAGCTCCTTATCACGTCATTGAGATATCTCAAAGCGCTTCACAGAATATACTGGAAAGTGACTGTATTTTGTGGATGAAACGCGGCAACCAATTGCACACAGTAGCACAAACAGTCGTGGATTGAGCGTCCAAGTTATTATCTGCAAATCGACTAAAAACCTGGTTCCTACTAACTGCTAGATAAACAGAGCACATGTGGAGTAAGGAAACTTGCCTAAAGTTTTGCCCTTCCCAATAATCGAATCCAGGGTGAAGCGAGCGCCCTAATCATTACTCTACATGACTCAGATGCTTCTGTTTGGCTGGTCACTCGGCAGGTAGCACTTGAGCACTTTCTGTTCCAGCAGCAAGTCACAACCTGCAGTAAAACATTGAGAGAGGCACTGCAGAGAGACTGTATATTCCTTTCTGGACCTTTTGTTTGACAGACAGTTATTTGTCTGTTCATGTTCAAAAGGCTACAAACCAGACTGAGATTTCTATTCATGCCACCTATATACGGAAATTCCCATGTCTGGAATAGAATGCACACCCTCTTTCCCAAGGGACATGTCCTGTTTACCTAGTTCTGGAAAATATTGGGCACAGGTTAGCAAGAGCCAAGTCTTGGGGGTGCGGTGTGTTACAGCTGGAGTTTAACAACAACAACTTGCATTTATATAATGTCCTTCATGGAGTGCAGTGTCTTGGAGCTCTTTAAACAGCTAAAACTGCATTGTTTAAAGATTCCTTCCAGTAATTCTGAGCTACAGCCAGTAATCCTTGGAATTCCAACACACGGGAAAAGGCTGTTTCCT